TGCAGTCGCGGCCGAGCCTACAGCAGGCGCACATTCTCAAGGCAGTGGAGAAGGCGTGGGGCGTGCGCATGCACCCTGGCGTGCTCATGGCCATTCTAGCGCAGAGGCACCGCTGGCTGCAGCTGCCCGAGGGGCTGTCGCTGCGCCTGCTCAAGAGGCCGAGGCTCAGGGCCAATAGGCTGCTGGAGGTGGCTCTAGCGCGCTGGGTGGAGGGCTTGGGCGCGGGGGTGAAGGTTTACTGGGAGACTATCTGCTGGCCGCCCCGCCTTGCTTCTGCTCATGGGAGCTGTGGCGCTGCTGCTGCTGCTGCGGGTGCTGGTACGGGCGCGGGTGCGGGTGCTGGGGTTGGTGGTATGAGCAAGCGCGTGCGGTATGTGCTGTCAAAGGAGGTGATTATAGAGGTGGCGAGGAGGATCGGGCCGATAGTGGGAGTGGTGCCGACGTTCAAGTATGCGTACAGCTGGTGTGGGCGGTTCGTGCAGATGCTCGCCAAGTGCCGCGCACTGCAGGCCGAGGCAGCACGCGAGAGAGCGGGCATGCAGGGGGGGCTTCTTGGAAAGGAGTTTCATGGAACAGACGCTGAGAGGGAGAAGGTGGGTGCGGTAGGTGGGGAGGGGCGTGGGCAGGGAGGGGAGAGGGAGGGTGGACGGGCGGAGGGCGGAGGGAGTGGGGAAGTGGCAGGAAGGAGTGAAGGCAGGGAGAGGGAGGAAATTGGGGATGAGGAAATGGAGGAGGAAGTGGAGAGGCTGATGGAGGAAGAGAGGCAGGGTGAGGCGGCTGTGGGGCGTGGGGAGCATGGAGAGAATGAGTCCTGGGGTGACCTTACCATGTGGGACTCAGGCATAGATCAGGGAGTTGATGGTGCACGAGGGGTATCTGGGACAGCAGCAGATGGGATGGCAGGGGGGGATTCGGAAGCAGGCAGATGTGCAAGTCAAGAGGAGGCGTGGAGAAGGGACTTTTTGAAGAGGGTGGAAAGGCACCTGCTGGAAGCTCAGATGAGCCCAGGTCAACGTGGGGAGGCTCACATGGGGGAGGCGCGAGTGGGCGAGGCTGAAACGTGGGAGAATCAGTTGACACGCAGACGAGGGCTGGACGTACCAGCGGAGGGCGCTGCAGCAGCAGCACCAGCGGAGCCGTCAGCAGCAGTGGTGGTGGCAGCAGTGCGGCGGGCGCTGTGTGAGTGGGTGGCGGAGGGGGTGGTGGGGCAGCGCGCGGACTCGGAGGAGGCACGGGAGCAGGCGGTGGTGGTGGGCGTGGTGGGGGCGACGTGGGGCGTGGCGGTGGGCGAGGAGGACCTGGCCCTGCTGTGGCAGCAGCGCACACAGCTGCTGGGGATAGCGTGGGAGGCACGCGTGCGAGAGAGACTGGCGAGGAAGGGTGGGGTGGGGGATGAGGGCGGGAGACGGGGGCAGAGGGAGGGGATGGGTGAGGGGGAGGGTGGAAGGGAGAGGGAGGGAGAGGAGGGGGTGCAGGGGGGAGTGAGAAGCAGTAGCATGATGCGGCGAGTGGAAAGTTTGCTGGCGAAATGGGTGCAGGGAAGGGTGGCAGGGGGGCAGAGAGGAGAGGGAGATTGTGGCGTGGGAGGGGAGGGAGGAATGGAGGGGAGGAGGAAGGAAGATATGGCTGAGAGGGGGCAGGGAGAGAGTCAGCAGGAGTGGCAGAATGAGAAAGGGCAGAGCCAGAGGTTAGCATCTGTGCAAGAGGGGAGCACGACTCCTGCTCCTGCTCTCTCTGCCACAGCTATCCGTCGCTGTGCCATGCACCTGCTGCTGAAATACAATATGCCTGTCTCCTTGTCTCACATGTTCACGCGCCAGTGGATGCACACATTCCTGCACCGCTGGGGCATCCACCCCTGCCTCATATCCGGCCTTGACAAGCTTCCGTCCTCTACACCCGCCACTAATACCACGACCACCACCGTCACCACCACTGGTGCTGCTTCCGTGGGTGCTGCCGTTGCCGGTGCTGGCGGAAGACCATGGGGCGCACAAGAAGGGAGCTCAGGAGGAAGGAGAGAGCTGATGACACAGGCGCCACAGGCATCAGCGGCAGCACAGACAGCAGAGGCGCCAGAGAGCGCCATGGAAGTGGGGGTGGATCTGCTGGAGTGGGTGGATGCACGGGACGTGCGTGCGCTGCTGCGCGCCATGGACGGGGAGATCTGGCGCGTGCGCCTGCGCGTGCGGCAGCGCATGCGCTGGCTCAGCTGGGTGGACCAGCTGCACCGCCAGGCCCGGCGCCGGGGGGAGAGTGCCGCGAGGGGGGGCGTGGGGGAGAGGGGGGAGGTGGAGAAGGGACAAGAGGGCGCGAGCAGGGTGGGTGGGGATGGAGGATGCTGGGGTGATTTGAGTGGTGGCGGGAAGAAGGGCGGTGGGAAGAGTGGGAGATTGTGGAGGACTGGTCTGTTCAACACGCCGTGTTATTATGACCCACTGAGCGAGGACCGGCCTAAGAAGGGCGTGCGTGCGGGCCAGGTGCGTGGTGACAAGCAGAGGCAAGGTGCCGAGGAGGGCGAGGACGAGCGAGGGATAGAAGGAGCAGACAGGGATGATGCAGAGGTGGCCACAGAGTGTGTGGTGAGTGGGGGGTTGGATAGCGGGGGAGAGACAGGAGAAGGTGAGGGAGAGGAAGGGAGGGATGGTGCAGAAACGGGTCGGGGAAGAAAAGAGGGGAGAGGACGAGGAGAAAGGGGAGGACGACGAGTGGGGAGAGGACGAGGAGGAGGGAGAGGGAAAGAAGGAGGGAGAGAGGCAGGAGGAGGGAGAGGGAAGGGAGGGAGTGGGGGAGGAGGAGGGAGAGGGGGAGGTAGAGTGAGAGGGGGAGGAGGGAAAAGGGAAGAAGGAGTGAGAGGGGGAGAAGCAGTGACAGGGGGAGAAGGAGAGGAAGGTGGAGCGAGGGGAAGAGCGAAGCGTGGTGGAAGAGTGAAAAGCGGAGGGGGTCCGAGGACGAAGAAGCTTGTGGGAGTCAACTGGGATGGCTTCTGGAGCTTCGATGATGGGCATGCTGCTGGCAATGCTGGTGAAGGAGCAGATGGTGGGAGACAGGGTGAAACTGATGCTCGTGATTTCACTGCACCTGCTGCTGCTGCTGGTGCTGCTGGTGCTGCTTGTGCTGGTGCTGCTACTGGTGATGGTGCTGCTGCTGCTCCTGCTGCTGGTGATAGTGATGTTGGTGGAAGCAGTGACAGCAGTGGGGCAGGGGATTACGTTCAACCTCTCCCACACCACCTTCCCAACACTCCACAGCAACCCAATAGCCAACCACAGCAGCAGGGACAGCAGCAGCAGTGGCAATCATGGCCTGGGTGGCAAACGCCTGGAGTAGTGTGGCAGAGGGTCGGCAACGGGTGGCAGCAAGTGGTGCCTCCGCCACCCATGATGGGGTGGCAGCCTGGCATGGGCGGCAGTGCAGCGCAGGCAGGTGGTGGTGCATCCAACTCTCCGTGGCCCAGTGCCGTGCCCACTAATCCATGGCCTGCTGCTACCGCTCCCCCACACCCATCGCAACCCTTCATGGGCGCATGGCCTATGGGGATGGGGGGATGGCACCCTCCACCAGCAGCACCAGCATCGCAAGCAGCAGCGATGCCAGCAGCAGCAGCAGCAGGAGAAACAACGACAGAAGCAGTGACACCGGCAGCATTGGCAGCAGCAGTGGCAGCAGCAGCAGTAGCAACAGGTGCAACACCAGATGCAGTGGCAGCGTGGTTTCGGCAGCAGCAGCAGCAGGCAGCACAGAACCAGGAGCAGCAGTTGCTGCAGCAGCTTCGGCAGGTGCTGTCATGCCAGCAGCAGCAGCAGCCTCAACAGCAGCAGCAGCCTCAGCAGCAGCAGCAGCCTCAGCAGCAGCAGCAGCAGCCTCAGCAGCAGCAGCAGCCTCAGCAGCAGCAGCAGCAGCAGCCTCAGCAGCAGCAGCAGCCTCAGCAGCAGCAGAGAAGTGGAGCAGCAACTACACCATCAATCGTCCCATTTCCTCCCCCTGCTCCATTACATCAACATACCCAACCTTTTCAGTCATATCCCCCTCCCCACGCACCATACCCATACTTTCCACACTCGCCCTTCCCACCCCAGCCATCCTCCCAGCCCTTCCCCCCCCAGCCATTCCCGGGCATGCCTCCATGGCCACCACAGCCTCATGCCCCGCACCCTAGTCCTCCTGCTGCTACAAACGCTGCTGCTGTGCCTCCCAGTGCAGCAGGTGCTTACATGGGCGGTGCAGGAGATCAAGCTGGCGCACAACACAAGGACACAAGGAAGGGAGGGCAGGAGCATATGGAGGAAGCTGGGAGGCTGGGGAAGAGGGCTAAGGGAGCATTGCAGCAGCAGCAGGCGGTGCAGAAGAGGAGGGCTGAGGAGGTGATGCAACAATGGCGAGGGGCTGCACAATCGTCGGCTTTTCAGAGCGCATGGAAGCCGCTGGTGGTGCAGCGGAGTGACGACAAGGGAGGAGATGATGGGGAGACAGAGGATGATGAGGAAACGGATGATGATGATGAAACAGAGGATGAGGAGGAAACGGAGGATGAGGAAACAGAGGATGATGAGGAAACAGAGGATGATGAGGAAACAGAGGATGAGGAGGAAACGGAGGATGAGGAGGATGTTATTGAGGTTGTAGGGACGAAGAGGAAGGCACATGTTAGTTCTGTGATAAGGAGAGCAAAAGCGGGGAGGCAGGGAAAGGGACAGAAGAGGACAGTTAAGTAAATCTAGGGATGGCGGGCTGCCATTCACTTGTCAGCTACTAGTACCGCCTTTGTCTGCGAATGATGCATCGCAGATTAGAAAGCCATTTCTGGTACTCCATGTCTATACATGCAATTTACTTGGCCCAAGCGGTACAACAAAATGGCTGGTTTCAGGCGTTTTTTGTAACGTAAACACACAAAGCACTCATTATTTGTATGAGGTACCGGTATCAAGTGGTAATGCCAGCAAGGTAGGGGAACGAATGGCACACAGTTGACAACCACAAGTGCACCAGATGACAACTCAAGAGCACACTGGTGAAGGCTGCCATTCAAGCCTTGGCAATGGCAAATCACTGGACACAGCAGAAGCCGACCCACAAGCACAAGCACATGCAGCGACTCCATGCACCCTCCATTCCCCACCACCAACACCACACAAACTTGTCCCTCCACTCGCACCACCACTCTCCACGAAACCACTCATTTCCGCAACACCAGCAGCAGCGGCGGTGGCAGCAGCAGCGCGGCTCAAGTACCCATTTGTCCTCTTAGCAAGCAGCACCCGGCGGCGCATGCCGAGCAGCGTGGAGGTCCAGCGGCTGTCGCAGTCGATGGCGAGGTAGCCGGCCTTCTGGTAGAGGCGGCGCGCGGCTATGTTGTCCTCGTGCACGTGCAGCACTATGTACTCAAAGCCCCACCGCAGCGACAGCTGCTCCACCGCTCCCAGCAGCACCGATGCTATGCTCTCCCGCCTGGGGGAAGGGGCGAGGGGAGAGGGAGGGGGAGGGATGGCGAGACGGGTTGAGAAGAGGAGAGAAGGGAGGGAGAAAAGAGTGTTGGAATAGATGAGGAAGGTTGAGCTGGGTGCGAAACAGGACATGAGGGTGTAACATGAAAGCGATTGGGTGGTGTGTGTGTGTAGAGGGAGGTTAGGTGCAGGACTGATGGTCAGGAGGGAATGAATGTGCGAACAGGGAGAGCGGGCAAGAAGCAGAGTCCTGGGACGAGCAGAGAGGCACTTTCATGGCAGGCAAATCACAAGAGCAGACAAGGGGGCAGGTAAGAGCACATGCAGGTGTGACATGCGTCATGAATCCACCCAACGCCCAGTGCTAGCATCTCCCAGTGCACGCAAGCAGTGACCTGAGGGACGCGTGCACAGCCATGCCCGAGAGGTACAGGTAGTCCTGCGCGCCTGACAGGTGCTTCAGCACACTGCGGTCGTCCAGGGCTGTCAGGTCCACCACTCCCACCACCTCCACTGCTGTCGCTACTGCTGCTGCTGCTGATGTGGATGCTGGTGACGGTCTCTTGGAGGTTTCCCCTGCAGGTGGCTCAGTGGTCGGGTGAGGAGGCGGAAATGGCTGGGTGGAATGCTGTGCCACGAGAATGCAGTGCCTGCGGGGAGGGGTCGGTGGAAGGTGGGGGGTGCACATGGCGGTAAGGTAATGAGAGGGAAACGCAGGCTGTGAGGAAAAGGGAAATCTGGAAGCGCAGCAGATGAGGAGGAAGTGGGTGGGTCAACCAAGGGGCATTGAACTAACTGATGGCCAAGCCTTTTAACAAAACCCGCTTCTTCAGCCCAGGACAGTGCATAGCTGCCTAGCATCCAGCATAGAGACTTCATTCGGAAAGAGCCCATCCCAACTCTGCCCAGCACACCCTTCCCTTCGCCTCATCCTTCCCCCTTCCCAGCTTCCCATTCGGCCTTGTCCTGCTGCGCAGCCAAGGCACAGCTGGGAGGCACGAAGCTGAAGGATTGTATGACCTACTGCAGGCAGGCAGTGGCCCTTGCTCTACACTGCACCGTCCACAGTCTACGCTCGCACCACAACTCACCCGCGGCCCATCCCATTCCATCCCATCCCATTTCACGCCTTGGCTGTGGTCCGGAAGGCCAAGTACCTATCGCCCATCAGACACCGAAGTCAGAACCGAGGCATGGCTCCCCTCAAGTCACGCTTACCGGGCCTGCCCGCCACGATGCTGCCCCCACTGATGCCCCTCCCATCACACGCGCCCTGCCCCCCCACCTCCTGTCGAGCCTGCCCATGCCATTCTCTGTCGCTCTTAACCGGTGTGCTGTAAGCAGGCAGCCCCACGCCAGGATGGATGGCAGGGTGTGTGAGTGTGATCGCACAGGCGCGAGGGACGATGGGGGAACGGGACAGGGGAGGGGAGAACGGGGGCAGGAGCAAGGGGTGGGCAGGGCACCTGTCAGGCGGCGAGTATTTGAGCTTGTGCAGCAGGTTATCGTAGAGCTCCGCCTGAACCGCACCGCAGTGATGTCACACATGCGTACCGACACCACGCCCACATCACATTGCGGGCATGCATGGGGACAGAGAGAGGGAGGGGGAGGGGGGAGGAAAAGGGGGGGAGAGGAGGTTGCGTTGCGTTCGAGCCCACGTGCTGCAAGATGCACAGCAAAGACCAGCTAGGAGCAGTTTCGTCCATATCACACCACGCCTCCTTCTAACCCTTTTTGTGCCTTCCCTAAGAAGCACCACCATGCGCCATCGTCCCTGTCTCACCCGCCCCAATCCCCCCTGTCGCGTCCTCGCCATCCGCCCTGCATGCGTCCCTCCCCCCCCCTCCCCTCTTCCCCCCCCCCCTTACCTTGAACATGTCTAGAAAGAATGCGTTCAGCGCGGACAGCGGGGCGGGCGGGGGGTCATGGAACACTTCCGCCTGCAGGTCCGCCACCGCCTTCATCTCCTCGCGCGCGGCCATGCGCACGCGCCACTTCCCGCTCTCCACTCTGAATTCTCTGCTCGCTTCCCCCGCTTCCCCCTCTTCCCCCGCTCCCTCCGCTACCGTCGAAACCGCCGCTCCTTCCGCCGGATCGGGCGCCGCCAGCTGCTCTTGCCGTTGCTCCGACGGTGGCGGAGGCGAATCGGAGGCGCCTTGCTGCCATGCCGTGAGTGTCTCGCCTTCCGCGGCCGTGGCTCCCCCTGAGCTCTCCGCGTCTGCCCCCCATGCGATGGGCGCTGATCTCCGCGCGGGGCGGGAGTGCCGCGCGAATTGGGGGGGATGCGGATGGCGATGCGGCAAGCGCGGACCTGCCGAGGAGGAGGACGATAAGCCGTGTGCGTGCCTCTGCCGCGAAGCGTCGAACGCGCGTGAACGAGCTCGCGCGTGCGCATGCAAGTGCACCGGCGCGCGCAGGATGCAGTGCGCGAAGGCGGGCTGAGCGAAACCGGTTTCCGCGGCGTGCGGTACGGCAGCGCGCTGTAGAAGGGCGCTGCCACTGCCGGACGGGCCGCTTCGGAATTCCGTCGCGCTGCTGCCACTGGTGGCAAGGACTGTCGCGCGATGCGACAATGTTCCAATAGCCTCTACTTCTCGGGTCCGGTTGGGCAGAAGGCGGCGGGGTGCTGAGAGGTGGAGTGGGAGAGAGACAGTGAACACGAGGGGTGGCAAAGGGTGGTCCACTCGCTTACACGCAGCAAACGGGAATGACGGCATTGTTAGCGAGCCTTGCGATACCATAGCTGGCGGGGGGTGCGAGGGTGAGACATGCGATGACAGGGCGAAGGCGGAAGCCATTATTAGTCTGGAGCGACGAGAAGTGCCCCAGTGACCAATATTCTGGTGGCTTGGTGGTGTATCGGGAGCCTTTCGTGGTGAGGTGCAGGAGGAACAAGCAACAAGGTGGCGAAGTGTAGCAGGTTCGCCAGAACGCTCCAAATCTTACAATATAAACTAAATAACGTAAACACAGTAAAATCAGATTCATTAAGGGGTCTTAAGGCCAGCAGCTGGAATAGTGGACCCCCCCCCCCCTTCTAGTTGGGTCCACTTCAAAGTTGAAGTGCTGTTATTTATTTCTTTTCAGGCGCACATTGTTACGATATGAAGATATATGAGAAGGCATTCCTGTATGCTACAGGAACCGACTCTATCGAGTATGAAGTCGAGGAGTCAGAAGAGTCGAAGCGACGTAGCAACCGTCTGACCAAAACCGATGCAGGCGGAAACATTTGAAACGAAAAGAGCGGGAACAGGTTTAAAACGGGTTCCCGCGCTGCACGGTTTGAATTCGCTGCAATAAGGGAATTTACCAGGCCCTCAGATTCACTTTTAGGGACGTTGATGCTGTTGGAAACAATGGAACTTAAACGCTTCAGCAGTGTCAAAACATTGCACCAGAAGCGAGGCAACCTACACCGAAGCACCTGCGAGTCAACCCTCGGAGGTTGAATCGGCTGCAGGAAGTTACGCTAAAGTCAAAGGTCGCTGACCCTTGACCTGACAAGAACAGCGCGACAGTTAAGGACACACAACTGACTCATTACAGAGCAGTTGCCCGAGTCGCACTGTATCGAACCGCAACAGCAACAGTAAAAGTAGTTATAACCGTATCTCTTCATATTCCCTGTATTATTATATAAGCTTGTATCCTTTCAATATAATTTAATCTACTTTGCTCTCACACACTAGTGCAAGGTCGGTTCACAAAGCTTCATTAAACGCTTCCGCTATTACAAAGTATCCTACCCAGAGTTATCCTCTGTAAAGATCCTTAGGGCCTTTTCAGCCCAACAGATGCATCAGGGCCCCTGTGAAAAAAATCCTGAATTTTCAGGGTTCCTAATAAAAAAAGCCTGAATTTTCAGGGTTCTGAAAAACAAAAGCCTGAATTTTCAATCACATCAAGTAATTGTGCAAGAGAGTAGCCTATACGAAAATGGTAGTATAGTGTTTCGATCTGGAAACCTTTCACATTCGGTATCTACTTCGCTAACCACTAATCCCGTTCATCGAGACAACAAATATTTTTTTTTAGACACCATTTTATTATGTGGAAATTCTGGTTGACTTAGGGTTCGTTAGACCCGCTACAATGTGATTTGGCTGCAAACTTGTCGCCCTTTTGGTCGATTCCTTTTTTCGCCAAAGTCGACCGAATGGTCGAATGCTAAACCGACCACCATCCAGCCACATTTACAAGGTGTTGAAATCTGACAGATTTGGTGGCCGATTTCTAGGCCGGTTTGCAAAAGTGTCAGATTTGCAGGTCGCACAGTTGGCCGGATTGTGTGACGGAGTCGCACGTATTGTTACTGAAGTGACACAACCGCTATTGTGCACACTACGATCAGTGAGTCAAGATGTGAGTTGCGGCTCCATTTACAACCCGACTCGGCGAGATCGTGTCGTCTACCCGAACTGAGTGTGACGAGAGCATACAAAAACTGGAACGTCCCTACACTCTAGCCATTATCCAACATGGCGGATCCTTTCACACCCAGATGGGCACGGCGTTTAGCAATCGGACTCACGCACGGTGTGCTCATCCCCTTTGTGAACAGAAAGAACGAGGATGAAATGACTATGAACGAAGTGAGTACAAATAGGAAACCCTAATTGGGTTGTACCCCCTATGGGATACCCCACTATAGCCTACACAAATAAGTAAGCTATATGTTCTGACACACCCCCATAGGCAAAGTGGGGGAGAACACGGGGTCACAAGACCAGTCAAGCAAAGCAAAAACAATGCTCAGGGTGGATCACAAAGTCACCACACATTCCGAGCACAAGTTCAAAGGCCACAAGGCCAGTTCACATGCAAGATCATATATAGAGATATACAAGAGTCAAGCAAGCAAGAGCAAGAGTATATATAGGTGAAGGTACAAGCAAGGTCAAGAAGTGAGTAAGTGAGGCAAGACAGGCAAAAGACCCAGCTGCGTGCAGCAACGCTGATGATCACAAGGCGCAAGTGCCTTGGTGAAGACATCAGCAGTGTTGGCCTCAGAGGCCACGTACGCAAGTCGCAACTGTCCACGCTGCTGTAGCTCACGGGCAAGAAAGTAGCGGAGAGCAATGTGCTTTGTCCTGTGCTCCAGTCGCTGCTCTCGACACAAGGCCAGCATGGCCTTGTTGTCTACGTACAGGACTGGAGGAGAACGAGGCGGCTCTCCAAGGTCGGTCAGCAGGTAGGTGAGCCAGCGAAGCTCCTGAGCAGCCATAGCCCCGGCGTAGATCTCAGCCTCACAACTGGAGCCGAGAACAGAAGACGAGCGAGTAGCCCGCCACGAAACAGAGCCGGAACCAAGGCCGAAGGTGTAACCCTGTGACGACCGCTGCGTAGCCTGGTCGTCAGCCCCATGCCTCCAAGCACTAGCCCCATGCCTGACGTACTGCACAAGTAGCGCAACACCCTCTTCGCTGCAGCCATGTGCTCTGGTCGGTGTCTCCCAGGAGCAACATAGCGTGCGAGAATGCTAAGAGGGTATGCAAGGTCAGGTCGAGTGCAGGTCATCAGGTACATGAGGCAGCCAACAAGCTCTGCATACGGGCCACTCGACTCTACGGACTCATCCGAAGGCAGAGCTGAGAGCGAGTGGCGAGTAGGCAGAGGAGTGGCCTGAGGCGAGGAGTACGTGAAGCCGAAGCGCTGAAGGACCTGCTGCACCATGTGTGACTGAGTCAGGGTAATGGTGCGGCGTGCTCTGTCCCGGGTGATCTGCAAGCCAAGGTAGCTGCGCAGTTCACCCAGGTCAGTGCACGTGTGTCTCTTCTGCAGCTCGGACTTCACGTAGGCGAGTCGAGCAGTGTCAGCTGTGGCAAAGACCAAGTCGTCGACGTACACGAGGATGTAGAACGGCGGCAGAGAGGTGTCGGTGCGCAGAAACAGCGACGGGTCGGCAGTAGAAGGAGCAAACCCAAGTGCCGCAAGCGTAGTCCTCAGTGTGTCGTGCCACTCACGTGGCGCCTGGCGGAGACCGTAGACTGGACGCCGGAGACTCCACTGGGTACCAGGAGGGAAAGGCCCAGTGAAGCCAGGTGGGCGACGCAGCCAGATCTCCTCGTGCAGGCTGCCCTGCAAGAAAGCAGTGCTGAAGTCGAGAGAGTGCAGCTCGTAGTCACGGTGAGCAGCAACGTGCAGCAGTACCCAAAGAGTGGTCATCTTCGGGGTGGGGGAGAAGGTCTGAAAGTAGTCAACTCCCTGCCGCTGACTGAAGCCACGAGCCACGTAACGCGCCTTGAAGACAGGCGGAGAACCCGGCGGCCGCTTCACCCTGAAGATCCACATGCCACTGACGATGTTCGCCCCAGGAGGGGGAACAGCGTCAACGTAGGTGCCTGTGGACTTCCAGGAAGCCATCTCTGCATCCATAGCTGCCTGCCACTGAGAGGAGTAGGGACCCTTTATCGCCTCCGCGTAAGAGCGCGGAGTCGGGATGTCTAGTGCATCCGGGTCTCCCTCAGGGGCGAGCAGAACAGACGCGAGATGAGGTGAAGCGGCGGCCAGACACTGGAACTCCTCCTGCCTGTCCTCAAGGACGTCCGTGCCTAGGGCACACTCACCCCCGACGGACGGAGGACAGGCAGACTCAGACTCAGCGACAAGACTAGCAGCGTAGTCTAGACGACAGCGCGCAGCAAAGTCGACAAGCTCAGTGACAAGGGCAGACACAGCAGAAGACTCGAAGGAAGGGTCAGTGACAACAGTAGCAAGGAGACGCGTGACAGTAGGACAAGCAGCACGAAGAGAGTCCAACTCCGGGTCGGCAAGAGCAGGAAGAGAGGAAGTAGGAGGAGAAGGCAAAGGGGCACGCAGAGGAGCACTGGACGGACGCAGAGACATCCGGTGCGTGCCAGGGACAGGAGGAGGACGCTGACGCGAACCGCGACCACTAGTGTGCGCAGCACAAACAGGCGACGCAGGACGTGACGCAGGCTCACGACGCTCAGTAAGACCTCCAGTCGGACCAGTGTAGGGAGAAGGAGCAGGCAAAGGGGAGGCAGGCTGTAGCTGTGACCGGGACTGGACAGGCTGTGGACCCTCTAAGGGAGGCGGAGGAGGACCAGGAGAAGGTGTAAGACCAAGAACCTGCTGCAGGAGCGGAACGAAGTACGGTCGGGGCCGCGTGGCGACGCCAGAAACAGCAGGGACAGCACCAGTACCCCCAGCAGGAGTACCCGCTCCAGCAGCACCTCCAGCAGCACCAGGAGCACTGCCAGTCGGACCGCCAACAGTAGTCTCAGCGCCAACACCCTCAGCAGCACCAGCTCCAGGAGAACCCTCAGGCCCAGCAGCTCCAGCAGCCACAGCACGAGCACCTCCGGGACGCGCGGCAGCAGCACCTTCTGCAGCCGAAGAACCTCCAGCACCAGCAGCACGCCTCCAGCGCCGGGCAAACCACTCACGCAGCTCCTGTGGGGAGAGTGGCTCTCGGTGAGACGAAGCACCTCCAGGCGGAGAACCTCCAGGCGAAGAACCTCCAGGCGCAGCACCCTCAGGCAAAGCACCTCCAGGCGGAGCACCCCCAGTCTCAGCACCCCCAGTCTCAGCACCCCCAGACTCAGCACCCCCAGTCTCAGCACCCCCAGACTCAGTACCCCCAGTCTCAGCATCCCCAGGCCCAGCACCCCCACGCGCAGCACCCCCAGACTCCGCACCCCCAGGCTCAGCACCCCCAGGCTCAGCTCCCGCAGCAGCACCAGAGTCACCAGTGACCTCGACAGGCTCGACCGCG